AGTCAAAAGAAGTTAACGTGCAGGGTGTCTGCATAAAAGTAGAGTAGGGCTGAGTCAATTCGAATAATTTACTATTCGAAAAATTCGACCTTCAATTTGATCAAATATCCGAATATTCGGTCGTATTGAACGGCAGATTGTTGATGAACAAATCATATACAATATCACTTGCAATAACCTACACAATTGCACATTATAATCACTATAATAGCTCCTCACATCTAGGAGTATCTCCAACCATGATTTAGCAAGATTGAATAGATGAACAAGACTTCTTGCCCTGTTGAAAATTTCTATTCCTTTTAAATTGTTTTATCAATAATTTACGTTTTAAAGGTTTCTGACGCTTTGCATTTGAATCTGCTTGAAACAAGCCTCCATAGTGGAATATTTCTCATTTAAAACAAAGGAAAATTTTCCTTTTCGTGAATTTTGCATTCAAATATTCAAATTTGAAAAATAACATTTGAATATTTGATGATCGAATATTCAGTTATTCGGATATTCAACACAGCCCTAAAGTATAGCGATATAAAACTACTGTGATGACAAAACTACTTTATATATGGAAAAGAGAAATATATCTCTAGAAAGGGCAGAATGTCCTCTTTGCAATGGTATACAGCTTGTGATGTTATTGACACAGATGAGTGACTTAACTGGACTGATGTCAAGGGTACTGAAATCGGCACTGTGACAAGTTTGCATATTTGATTTAACAAGGCTTAACCATGCAAGTGTGCAAAAAAACAAATAATCCATTTAACTGATTATTTTGTGTTTGTCACAGTCTGACGGCTGGATGTATGTGACAGAGAGGATTGCAAGTTTCTTAATGATCCATTTTCAAAGCCTTTTATAAGTTGACTCTAGAAAGGACAAGATTTCTAACGATCCGTCAATAATGAGTAGCATATATATTGGAAATTTCTTCGTGTAAGGTACAAATTTTGTGCGGTGCCTGTAGTCACGCTCGATGGTAGATTTGCAAGAAGCCCATTCTGCCTACCACCAGATCGCCTGTTGGTGTGAATGTCATGGCAACAGTGAGCATACACTGCTTAATGACACATCCAATGTATTTGCCGTGAGCATTATAGACGTGAATATCTCCTGCGCTTGGCAAGGAGAGGTTACCCTTGGCAACATAGATTTTGCCTTGACTGTCACAGCACACGCTCTTTGGTCTTCGTTCATCTGTCATGAATACTATGTTGCAGTGGTAATCTATTGACACCAATTTCCCCTTCACTTGGTTGGTGTAGATGAGCTGCTTGTTGCTGATGACCAGTCGGTCTGCAAGCATCGATGCCGGTAGTTTCCTGATGAGGGTTCCATCTGGGTTGTGGAGGCTGATCTCTCCCTTGGCCTTGTAGCCCACAGCTATCAGATTGTCCTCGTCCACTGCCAGGCAGGTTGGTTTGCGGCCTGAATCAGTTCCTGGCTGGAACTGATGGAGGAGTTGATATTCTCTGCTGAAGGTCTTGACTGCAGGACCATCTAGGACAAGGAGGTGATCTAGTCTGTTGACTGTGACTTGGCACGGATCTTTGATATCATGACTTTGTATTACTTGGGAGATGAAAGGGGATTTGTGATTTCTCGTTGGCGAATAAGTTACCAGCTGTTTGTATCCATAGTCTGCTGTGACGATTACATTATTAGAGAAAACTGCTACAGAAGTAATTGAATGCCTCCCGTCCAGTTTTATTTCTTTCTTCAGTTGCCACCTTGACTCATCTTTCAGAATCAGCCTTCCAAGAGACCTCTCCGCCTCACCACTCTCTTGAAAGTCAATGAAGTGCAACTGCTCTGGCACTATTTGTGGCTGTTGTTCTGTCAGTTCTCTGTGGGAATGCAAGAACTTTTGCCTGAGATGTACGATTCCGTGCATGATTTCGGGGGCCAGAAGCTGGTTCATCTCCTCCAGTGTCTGCTCTACCACCCTCAGCTGTCTGTCATTGACATTGTCAGCCGAGTCAAACACCTTGACTCTGTCTTGATATACCTCCTTGGCCTCTTGTTTTAAT